ACAACACTGTGTTCTAAATGTTCTCTCTGGCATCTGACAACACTGTGTTCTAAATGTTCTCTCTGGCATCTGACAACACTGTGTTCTAAATGTTCTCTCTGGCATCTGACAACACCGTGTTCTAAATGTTCTCTCTGGCATCTGACAACACCGTGTTCTAAATGTTCTCTCTGGCATCTGACAACACCGTGTTCTAAATGTTCTCTCTGGCATCTGACAACACCGTGTTCTAAATGTTCTCTCTCGGCATCTGACAACACCATATATTTCTAAAATGTTCTCTCTGGCATCTGACAACACCGTGTTCTATTTCTCCTGGCATCAGAGCAACACCGTATTCTAAATGTTCTCTCTGGCATCTGACAACACTGTGTTCTAAATGTTCTCTCTGGCATCTGACAACACTGTGCCCTCAATGGTGCCTCATAAAGAAGCCAGTTTACACCGACATTACGCAATAATACAACACATCGTGGGAGGGGGGAGGGGGGGGGAAGGGGGCGACGAGGAGGAGGGGGAGGGGCGACGAGGAGGAGGCTGTTAGATAAGTGGTGTTGGCTGACGAGAGCACAGTGTGTGTGTGTGTGTGTGTGTGTGTGGTTTATGGTGGTGGGTGGGGAGGGGAGGAAAAAGAGAGGGGGGGAGGGGGTGACGGGGACACATCACTGGGGAGGGGAGAGGGGAGGATAACAATGTAGTCTGTGTTGCTGTATTACTACCACCACCACCACCACCACCACTATCATCATCACTATCACCACCACCACCACCACTATCAACATCACTATCACCACCATCACTACCACCATTATATATATCACTATTCACTACCACCACCACCACTATTAACATCACTACCACCAACACTACTATCGTGACGACCATCACTTCACCACCACCCACTATCACTACTAACATCAACATCACCACCATCACAATGACACCTCCTTTCACTCGCCTTATCTCGTTTTGCACCTCCTCTCACCATCTCCTGCACCCCGCTTTCACCATCATCTTCTCCTGCACCTCCCCACCCACACCTCCTCATTACACCACCTCGCCCAGCAAGTCCCCTCATGGATGGTGACACGACCTCAGAGGAACTTGGGTAAATAGCCCACTTAACACCCCCACCCCCACCACCTCCCCCCACACCCCCCTCCATCACCCCCACACCACCTCCCCCCCCACACCCCACACCACCTCCCCCACACCCCCTCCATCACCCCCACACTACCTCCCCACCCCCCCTCCATCACCCCCACACAACACACTCCAATTCCTCTTCCTGGCACAAGCCCAATTAAAGGCGCCATTAAATACGTGTAAACAGCTGCTGTATGTGTATTAATAAGCCATTAATGTAATTGTTAATGGTGTTTGTTTGTTTGTCTGTCTGTCTGTCTGGTAGTTAAGGTGGCAAATTGGGTGGCGTAGCTTGTTACGATAGCAATCTTACACCTAGTTAGGGAAAGTTTTAAAATCTCCCAGTTAAAAGTTCCTTAGGTGTGGGGGGCTACAGTATACCTACACAACACACAAAACACCCACACACCTACACCCACACAACACAACCCACACCCACACAACACACCTACACCCACAACACACACCCACACCCAAACACACACCTCTACACACACAAACACCCACACACACAACACAACTACACACACAACACACCACACAACACACCCACACCCACAACACACCGCACACCCACACAACACACCTACACCCACACAACACACCCCACACCCACACAACAACACACACACCTACACCCACACACAGCACACACCCACACCCACACAGCACATCACACCCACACAACACACCTACACTCCACAACACACCTGCACACCTACACAACACACCCACACCCACACATTCTACACCCACACAACACACCCACACCCACACAACACACCCACACCCACACAACACACCCACACCCACACAACACACCTACACCTACACAACACACCACACCCACACACCTACACCCACACAACACACCGGCACCTACCACACACCCACACCCACACAACACACCCACACCCACAACACACCTACACCCCACAACACACCCCACACCCACACCCACACCCACAACACACCCACACCCACACACACCTGTACACCCACACAACACACCCACACCTACACCCACACACCCACACCCACACACCCACACCCATGGCTAAAAGCACACCCACACCCACACAACACACCCACACCCACACAACACACCCACACAACACACTCACACCCACACACCCACCCACACAACACACCCCACACCCACACAACACCCACACAACACACCTACACCCACACAACACACCCACAACACACCTACACCCACACACCACCACCATCACACATCAGCCTCCCAGATCACCACTAACACACAGATTTAACTCTCACAGAACATCACCATCAAACACCACAGAACATCACCATCAAACATCACAGAACATCACCATCAAACACCACAGAACATCACCATCAAACACCACAGAACATCACCATCAAACATCACAGAACATCACCATCAAACACCACAGAACATCACCATCAAACATCACAGAACATCACCATCAAACATCACAGAACATCACCATCAAACATCACAGAACATCACCATCAAACATCACAGAACATCACCATCAAACATCACAGAACATCACCATCAAACATCACAGAACATTACCATCAAACATCATTATCCTCACACAACATCAAGTACTGTTATTGGAACATATTATTGAGTGTGTGTGGGGAGGGGGGGCAAGAGTGTGGGACGGCAGCACAGGGACAGGTTCTGAAGGAGAGCCAGTGTGTGTGTGTGTGTGTTTGTATGTAGTGTGTGTGTGTGTATGTAGTGTGTGTGTGTGTGTGTGTGTGTGTGTGTGTGTGTTTGTATGTAGTGTGTGTGTATGTAGTGTGTGTGTGTGTGTGTGTGTGTGTGTGTGTGTGTGTGTGTGTGTGTGTGTGTGTGGTAAATTTATAAAAAAAATAACCAGGAAAGACCACACACACTAACAAAATCACCAAAAGTTAATAAAAATCAACAATAAATCACCAAGTCAATAAAAGTCGACAAAAACATTAACAAAATCACCAAAAGTTAATATAAGTCGACAATAACAATAAATCCCCAAAAGTCAATAAAAGTCGACAATAACAATAAATAACAAAAGTCGACAATAACAATAAATCACCAAAAGTCAATAAAAGTCGACAAAAATAACACCACCCCCCCCCCAACACACACACACCAAACACGAGTAAATTATGCTCAGATCTTACCCACTGAAGATAAAAATATATTTAGTATAAACGGATCACCTGAAGATAAGCCTCTCCAAGCTTATATCACCTGATGATTATACAGATGACACACCTTAACGCTACCTGACGAGAGGGAGAGGGAGGGGAGTTATCTTATGCTAGCCAGTGTTAGGTTAGGTTATTGTATGTTAGCCAGTGTTACGTTAGGTTATCGTAAGTTAGCCATTGTTAGGTTAGGTTAGGTTACCGTATGTTAGGTAGAGTTAGGTTAGGTTATTGTATGTTGGGTAGAGTTTGGGTGATTACTATTAAGGTGAAATAAACATTGAGTGGCTAATCTTCAGGTGAACCAAATCAGGTACAGGTATCTAAATCATCAAAACAAGACCATGATTTAAATTACAGGTAATTATAGTGGTTGTGAAGAAAACAGGTACAAAAAAATGGTCTCGATATAGCAGTTGTGAATAAGGAGCGGAACGAGATACAGTAATTCCCATCATCTAAAACAGTCACTAAGGCAAGTTTCATATCATAGACTGCAGAGACAAACAAGTGATAAGATAATGGTTGGGTGTATGTATGGGCTGCCTGGTATCGTACGTGCCAACACACCACACCCACCTACCTACCACAGTGGTCTAACTAACTAAAACGCCTCTTATCTCTCTTTTGCACCCAGGCAGTCTTCAGTCCGGTGATGCCAAGTGATGCCGTTTATCCATACATACAGTCATATACCTAATACCATAACAAATAATAACAATAATATGGGGTTAGTTAAAAGAGTCCAGTGTATTCCAAGTATTATACACTCCATGTTTTCTTCAACACATACACTTAAAATATATACTCCAGTGCACAACACACAAGTCATACTGATATACACAAAACACAAGTGTATACACTAAGTAACACTGGAGGCTGAGAACAGGCGTGAGACACTTGAAGTAGTGCACCACTTACTAGTCCCACCACACACACCCTCGTGACACATGACGGTGCACCACTTACTAGTCCCACCACACACACACACCCTCGTGACACATGACGGTGCACCACTTACTAGTCCCACCACCACACACCCTCGTGACACATGACGGTGCACCACTTACTAGTCCCACCCACACACACCCTCGTGACATGACGGTGCACCACTTACTAGTCCCACCACACACACCCTCGTGACACATGACGGTGCACCACTTACTAGTCCCACCACACACACACCCTCGTGACACATGACGGTGCACCACTTACTAGTCCCACCACACACACACCCTCGTGACACATGACGGTGCACCACTTACTAGTCCCACCACACACACACCCTCGTGACACATGACGGTGCACCACTTACTAGTCCCACCACACACACACCCTCGTGACACATGACGGAAGGCAAAGCTGTGTGTTATGTCGCACTTGAAAACAACAACATCATCCCTCTCCCGCCCGATAAATGTCTAAATTTATCCAGCCAAAACATGGAGTGGGAGAGGGGGGATTATCCTCACGGGGGAACACTTGATTTACAAAACAAAAACAAAATGTCACATCACTTGAGAGCATTAATTAAAAAGAACATAATTTCTTCTTTCAGGTAAACAAATAAGTTCCGAGTCTTTTAAATGGAGTTCGTGAAGGTACAAGAATCAAGACTAGGCAGGACGCGAGCTACCATCAGTACCGCGTCGACCAACCTCCTCACAACACACCACACCACACACTGTCTGGGGTGAGACTACCGCGTGCCTCTAACCCGCCACCAGTCTCGGTCGGAGTCTGTTCAGTCCACGGTTCCCTCTTTCTCTCACACCACCCGGTCCTCCCTTTCCTCCTCCTCCTCCTCCTCCTCCTCCTACTACTACTACTACTACTACCACCACTATAATAAAGTACCTGATCACCCTCTCCCTACCTTGAATACCTCCAGCATCATCAGAACTACCACACTACAAACATATTCTCTCTCTCTCTCTCTCCGCACCAATTTCTATAGCTAACAGAACAACAACACCAATACAGTAAAGTTGGCGTACATTTATCTACTACTGCCATTAGCTGATATAATCCTCTCTCGTGCGACTCACCAAATAATACAACAAACACCAGGCACCGGACCCAGGCGGCCAATCTCCACCCTTTGTTTAAGGAAAAACGAAAAAAACGCGCCCCGGGGTCCTACTTCAACTTGGTGACCTTGACCTATATAGCGTTCCTCGTCGCCGTCGGGGGGAGGGGTTATCGTGTGTACTGACGGAGGGTGACCGCTATATCCAGATGACCTCTTACCGTCGGCGCGAGGAACGAGCTGTAAGAGGAAGGCGGTATGGAGAGGAGGAAAGGAGGGAAAGGTGATGGCGAAGGAGCAAAGGAGGGAAGGGTGATGGGGAGGGAGGGACTGAGAGGAGGGTGATGGAGGGGGGAGTAAAGGAGGGAAGGGTGATGGCGAAGGAGTAAAGGAGGGAAGGGTGATGGAGAGGGAGGGACTGAGAGGAGGGTGATGGAGGGGGGAGTAAAGGAGGGAAGGGTGATGGCGAAGGAGTAAAGGAGGGAAGGGTGATGGAGAGGGAGGGACTGAGAGGAGGGTGATGGAGGGGGGAGTAAAGGAGGGAAGGGTGATGGGGAGGGAGGGACTGAGGGAAGGGTTATGGTAAGGGAAGAAAGGAGAGAAGGGTAATGGGGAGGAAAAGAAGTAGAAAGAGGAGATGGAGGAAGACTTGAGGATGAATACATAGAATAACAAGAAGAACATCAAGAACAAGAATGGTAAACAATAGGTGGTGTACTTACCCCAAGTTGCTCTATGAACCAGTCAACAGTCAACACTCACCTGGAAAGACAAAACATTCGTCAGAAAAACAGTCAACACCTTGGAACTACATCCTCTAACACTGGCACATCGAAAGAGCGACAGTGCAGGCAGAAGGCAGGCGAATATTCGTTCATCTGGCCAAGCTTCCATGTAGGCGTGTTACTGTGATAGGAAGGGGTGATGATGTGCTGCCGCTGTGGATTGGTTCTTATAGTTAAAGTTTCCTCCCGTCTAGAGAGCCTCAATGGCACTAATTAAAAAAAAAACATTAATGTAACAAACATACTGGATTACTTTCAAATAATTTATGTGCCAGTACTTGCAGCTGTACCTGTACCTTCACCTGTAATTACCGGGTTATCTGTACCTATACCTATACACAAACCAGTACAGTCACGGATAAAAGTTCATTCCCCATGCTGAAGTTGAGTCACGAGTCCGAACTTACATAGGCCTACCATCACTACGTCGTCTGGTAAGGGTGTGCTGTTCTATTTCATTTGGGGTGGATACAGCGTCATAGTGTAGTGAGAGGGAGCGAGTCATAGTGTAGTGGGAGGGAGCGAACCATTGACCCAAAATATATCTGTATTTATACCTTTAATCACCTGTACTACCCATCACTCCCTCCCTCCCATTCTTCCTTCATTATTCCTCACATCCCAATTTCTCTCCATTCCCCACTCCCCATCCCCTCCTTCACGCTCCCAACAGATAGTTAGCGTCACAGGTGGTGGAGGTGTGACGGAGGAAGGGGCGGAGTCTAACACCTCGGCTGTCGTCGTGAAAGTCCAACATAAAATAGTCACAATTAATGACGCCAGCCTGCAGACGGGGAGTGACCGAGTCCTGTCCAGCTTGGCTAATCGGTCCTCCCAATCTATCGCTCGGTCTGTAGAAATCGGGAAAAACACAATCCAAAAAATCTGACCCAATCTTAAATTTGGATTAGTGCCTTTAAAAATCGGGGTGGAATCTGCAGCTCCAAAATAAAATCAACTCTGTATGGAGGAAAATGACACAAAACGCTCCAAGTGACAATAAGAAAGACAGAAAGAGAGAAAGAAAAGAGAAAGGAGTGAGGGAGGTATTTAACACCATATGTCAGTCTCAGCAGAAAAAATTTAAGTTTGAGACAAAAAGAAATGTTGCTTAGAACATTACAGGTGAAAGTGGTCATCGTTAACGGGTATTTCTGGCGGGGAGCTCCACTTACCTGCCAGCGGCTGTCACACACACACACACACACACACACACACACACACACACACACACACACACACACACTACAAACCTGTCTTTTCTTTTGTAACATGACAAGAAAAATTTGAAGAGAAAAAAATACTACAGTGGCGCCCCAAAGACCCGTTAGTATAATTAATTGACTTGTAACCTTCAGCCGTGTGACCTTGATAACACACACACACACACACACACACGGGCGGGGTGATGCTGATTGTCATTCGCTTCCGACAGCCGACGACACACACACACACACACACACATGGCAAGCACGTACACACATACATACAATACATAGAAACGAGGGCAAAAAAAAATACATACACTCGCACACACACATACATGCATACCTTCTAAATACATTTCCCACATACATACACGGGCAAACAAAAATATTCCTACACACTAGGGCATACATATACAGACAATCTCTCTCTCTCTCTCTCTCTCTCTCTCTCTCTCTCTCTCTCTCTCTCTCTCTCTCTCTCTCTCTCTCAAGTCGGAGAATATTCATTAACATTGTCTGTGCTGTGTGCGTGTTATAGATCCAGCCAAGAGATATGTTTACACACACACACACACACAGACACACAAAACACACACACACTGACATCTACCGGAACACCTCAACACCTACCGGAACACCTGAACATCTACCCGAACACCTTCTACCCGAACACCCACCGAGATACCCGACGTTGACATCACCACCAGCGTACGTCCGTTTTCAGCAGTATAAGAAATAGGAAGATTTTGAAGAGGTCCTCCCCCCTCCCCCACACACATACTGCACATTCCTACCTCATGACGCTCCCTCACCCTCACCACATCTTACCTTATAAAAATAATAGGTGTTTTCACTTGGTCGACCCGCATGGTCCAAACTGTAGTGTGGGAATACCTCCTGAATCCTGACCTGATCTGACTGTAAAAATGGCTCGCTTATTTTAGTTCAATTCTTACACAGACAGACACAGACACACAGACAGACACAGACAGACACACAGACAGACACAGACACACAGACAGACACAGACACACAGACAGACACAGACACACCGATAAAGGCGCAAATTGATTAACATATAGGTCCCCAATTACTGCTGGGTAGACAGAGGCAAATAGCGTAAAGAAACTTGCCCATAGTTTCACCCTGCCCGGGATCGAACCCGAGTCTGTTCGCTTGCGAGCCGAGTACGCTGACCACTACACCACAGATCGCCATGACATACATACATACACCTGCCTATGCAAAATGTAGTTACAAAAATTTATCAAGATCACTATTTTCTATTAAAAGAATCAGGAGACACACACACACGAACCAACAAACTCTAACCTAACTAACCGATTCTATAACCTAACCTAACCTAACCTAACCTAACCTAACCTAACCTAACCTAACTAACCGATTCTATAACCTAACCTAACCAACCCTAACCTACACATAACCTAACTAACCGATTCTATAACCTAACCTAACCTAACTAACCGATTCTATAACCTAACCTAACCTAACCTAACCTAACTAACCGATTCTATAACCTAACCTAACCTAACCTAACCTAACTAACCGATTCTATAACCTAACCTAACCTAACTAACCGATTCTATAACCTAACCTAACCTAACCTAACCTAACCTAACCTAACCTAACCTAACTTCTTAACTGATTCTATAACCTAACCCTAATAACCTAACCTACACATAACCTAACTAACCATTCCTCCTAACCTAACCTAACTAACCGGTTATAACCCTAACCTATTTAACTAACCTAACTAACCGATTCTATAACCTAACCTAACCTAGCTTCTAACCTAACTAACCGATTCTATAGCTAACCCTAACCCCTAACTTCTAACCGATTCATAACCTAACCTAACTAACCTAACCTAACCTAACCTAACCTAACCTAGCCTAACCTAACCTAACCCTAACCCCAACCGATTCTATAACCTAACCTAACCAACCTAACCCTGCACATAGCCTAGCGATTCCTGTAACCTACACATAACCTAACTAACCGATTCTATAACCTAACCTAACCTAACTAACCGATTCTATAACCTAACCTAACCTAACCTAACCTAACTAACCGATTCTATAACCTAACCTAACCTAACCTAACCTAACTAACCGATTCTATAACCTAACCTAACCTAACTAACCGATTCTATAACCTAACCTAACCTAACCTAACTAACCGATTCTATAACCTAACCTAACCTAACCTAACCTAACTAACCGATTCTATAACCTAACCTAACCTAACTAACCGATTCTATAACCTAACCTAACCTAACCTAACCTACACATAACAACCAAAGGGCCAAGGATCGTTAAATTTAGCACGAGTACGACAGGTTAGGTTAGGTTAGGTTCGTGTTCGTGAAAACGGTTTATATAACGGTCCTGTTCGTGGAATTTTATTAAATGTTTCATAATCTTGTACCATTACCACCACTAGGACCAATGTAGTGGTGGTGATGGTGGTGGATATGGTGGTGGGTGTAGTGGTGATGGGTGTTGTGTTGAGGGGGGTGGTGATGATGGTGTGGTAGTGGTAGTGGTGGTGATGGTTGTGGTGATGATGGTGTGGGGTAGTGGTGGTGATGGTTGTGGTGATGATGGCGGTGTGGTGGTGGTGGTGATGATAGTGAAGGGGTGTGATGATGATGATGATGATGATGGTGTGTGTGTGATGGTGATGATAATAGTGTCATACAATCAACATTCAGTCAGCCAGGAGTTTCATCCAAAATCAACCAGTCAACTATATATTTAATTTGTGTTCACTGGAAAATAGTAAAATCAGCCTTAACTGTCTGTCAGTCTGTCTGTCTGTCTGTCTGTCTGTCTGTCTGTCTGTCTGTCTGTCTGTCGTGTGTATGTTGTGTGTATGTCGTGGCATGTTATCAATTATTAACAAGTGTGTATACAAATGTCTCTTGTTGTGTGTAATACAGGATATGTGTGTGTGTGTGTGTGTGTGTGTGTGTGTGTGTGTGTGTGTGTGTGTGTGTGAGTGTGTGTGTGTGTGTGTGTTCATTTTTCCTAATGATGTTTATGCTACACGTCTGTTTTTTTCTGTGTGTGTGTGTGTGTGTGTGTGTGTGTGTGTGTGTGTGTGTGTGTGTGTGTGTGTGTGGAATTGTAAGAAAAAAAAACACACACACACACACCATTATAAACTTGGGTAGAGACAACAGTTAAAAATTAGTGTCTAATCATAAAAAAAAGTTGTTTGTGGAAAAAATAATAATTAATTGTATATTGTGAGCGTGTATGAGTGTGATGGTGGGGGGGGGCATCGATCACCATACTGAGGTGCACTATTCAGGGTATAGGAGGAAGCATGAGGAGGAGAAGGAAGGGGGAGGAGGAGAGGAAGAAGAAGAAGGAGGGTGAGAATGAGAAGTAGGAAAAGGGAGGAGAAGAAGTATGAGGTTAAGAATGAGGAGGAGGATGGGAGGAAGCATGAGGAGGAGGAGGAGGAAGAAGAAGAAGGAGGGTGAGAATGAGAAGTAGGAAAGGGAGGAGAAGAAGTATGAGGTTAAGAATGAGGAGGAGGATGGGGAGGAAGCAGAGGAGGAGGAAAGAAGAAGAAGGAGGAGGAAGAAGAAGAAGGAGGAGGAGGAGGAAGAAGAAGAAGGAAGATGGGGAGGAAGAATGAGGAGGAGAAAGAAGAAGAAGAAGGAGGAGGAGGAGGAAGAAGAAGGAAGATGGGGAGGAAGAATGAGAAGGAGGAGAAAGAAGGAGGAGGAGGAAGAAAAAGAAGGAGTGGGTGGGTGGCAGGTGAGACTTTAGGTCAGGAAGTAGGTGTCATGCTGGAGAAGGTAGGAACGTGTGCAGTCATAACCACTTCCCTCCACCGCCAACCTGCCTCCTTCAACACCTGACAGGAAGTACCCAGTATCCTCCTCCTCCTCCTCCCTCTCACCTGTCATGTTATTGTAAGTTTTTATGCCCCGTCATGATGGAGGAAGGGGATATATTATATAGTGTAGTGTAGTACCTTTGTCTGTGTGACTTGACCTTTTATGACACGATTTTTTTTTTACATGGAATTTTCTCCCGAGTAATTTGTGTGTCTGTTTATCAGTCGTAATCACACACACACACACACACACACACACACACACACACACACACACACACACACACACACACACACACTTTTAAATTAATGACTTAATAAAATAAGATCTTGAGACAGAGTCGTTTACTTGTTATGACTTACTTGGTTTAAACACAACATTATGATGTAAGACAAAGAAAAATACCACGGAAATACTCAATGTTGGGTTAAGGTGAAAGACGGGCAGTGTTGAGAGAGTACCACGAACAGGCCCGCTCCTCTTGCGTACAAATAAACGCGAACCGACCTAACCTAATCTTCACTTAACCTAATCTATCCTAACGTTATTTAACCTATGCTAACCTTAACCTATCCTAATCTAGCCTTACCTAATCTAGTCTAACCTAACGTTACCTTATCTAACTTAACCTAACCAAACCTAAGCTTATCTAATCTAATCTAACCTAACCAAACCTAAACTTACAAATCATAATCTATATGAACCTCGCCTTACTTAACCTAACCTTACAGAAAATAACTTAATATAACCTAATCTCATCTAATTTACCCTACCGTCACCTTATCTAACTTAACCCAACCTTAACTAACCCAACCTAATGAAACTAAACCTCGCCTTACCTAATCGAACTAAACAATCTAACCTAACCTAACCGATTTTTTTTCTAGATTGCCCCCAAGGGGGCTAGTTTATTGGGCACCCCCTTACATCCTGTGCAAGGTGAGCGTAGAAGCGTTTACAGCGCGCATCTAGGAAGCATGCGGTGTTCATGCTTGCCTTTATGATTCATGCATTAAGGGCGTAAAAGCCTGATGGGTCATGGGTTTTGTCAGCAAGTTACATAAAGTGACAGAATGATGAGTGTGTGGGGGGGGGAATTCCCGGTACAATTTATCTGTTTATGGCAAAGTGTGGCAGGTCCCTAATAATGTCAAGTGCCAGGCCAGTGACTAGGAGGAGGGATATCTGGTCAGGGAGGGAAGGGGTGTTGGTAACGGCTGGGGACCTGTAGGAGGAGGTCACAGGGCAAGTGAGGATGTAGTGAGAGAGGGTGTGAGAGTCGGGATTAGCCTACCAGGGTACAGGTCAATGACCCACATCAGGGCCTTGGGGCAAAAATATTATTATTATTATAATAATAATAATAATAATAATAATAATAATAATAATAATAATAATAATAATAATAATAATAATAATAATAATAATAATAATAATAATAATAATAATAAATTAGAAAAAATAAATAAACATATTTAATAATAATAATAATAATAATAATAATAATAATAATAATAATAATAATAATAATAATAATAAAAGACCACAAATAAAATAAAAAAAAATCAAGAGTGAGAAACGATATATGTATGTTTTGTTGTCAGAGAAACAATTGAGACCCTGCAATTGTGTGTAAATGAGGCAGAAAGTCATATCAGCAACCTGGGACTTGGTCACAATTTTCGTGATGCCATATGGCAGCAGGGTCTACCATGAGACAACACATTATGCTTCCAATATCTTCCCAGGCAGTAAAACCTCCTTGTTTGATAGCTGCCTACTACCTACATCTTACCTAATCAACCAAACTATCAACTTAACCTAACCAAATGAAATTAAACCTAGCCTTACCTAATCTAACCAACCAATCTATCCTAACCTTAACCTAATCTAAGTACTTCTAAGCTAATCAACCAAACTACCTAACCTAACCTCTCCTAACCACAATGATTGCTTGCCTGATGTTGTTAATATAGCTACAGTTTGTTAACATTTCCAGAGTTATTAAACCCACAGTTAGGTTAGCGTTAACATTAGTGTTTCATCATCAGGTGAAATTAGCTGGGGGGTACCTGACCTTCGGGTGATCCAAGATTAGTTATGATAATGTACAGGAAGTCACTACTTTGCACTGATTTAATGATGTATATTTAATAAAGCGAGGAAGGTATAGACAACAATATACATCACAGAGTCTTCCATGATGAGCACATTAAAAATAGTTTATCAATACATGTTGATAGTCACCTCCAGTCTGCTCCTTCCAGTACTCTCGCAGGTACTCATCCTCCCCGTCGCTGATGGAGTAGTCTGTGTCGGAGGTGTCCCCCGAGCGGTGGTGGTGGTCCTCGCTCCCTTCGGTGAACTGGTCGCTGGCATCGGAGCTCCTGAAGGAAGGTGGCACCGAGCTGGCCCTCTCGCGCCTCGTGCTCAGGTCCTCCGCGCTCAGGTGATGCAGCAACGGGTTCTGCAGCGTCAGCGATTGGACGAGCGTCGCCACAGTGGAAGGATCGTGGATGGTCATCTTCCTTGAAATATTCTTGCGCACGTCCACCAACAGGGCGCTCACTGACATCTTCCTCTTCGGCATCTTGGTGGTCTAGTTTGTCTGTTTTCCCCCAAAGTCTTTCTGTCACCACGACTAGAGAACCTTGTGTTCGACCTTCTGTTGTGTTCGTTAATTAACACACCTCACAGGTAACGAACACACCAAACTAACTTTGGTTAATCCTTCACCATCAACACTTTGATAACATGGAAGCACTTCAGGATATAGTGTCTAGATTGATTTTTTTTGTATTAAAACAGCTGGTAGGCACCCAGTTCCTCCACACCACGGCACTCTTAATGTCACTCACACGCCATCATCGGCTGATCCTCCTCCACCCGTTTCTATACAAGACTCCTGCCCAAGGACACCCTCCTCCTGTAAGTCACAGGCACACACATATGAATAAATCTCGGAATTGCATTACACACTACTGTGGGCCTTAAAGTCATGTTTTACACACGTTACCGTTATTAGTTATTACAGTCACCTACCAGATTACACGATGGCATCACACAGTACAGTACACGAAGTACTCACTGTCAACAGTCATATACTACAAAACTAATCCGTGTCAAGTCCCATAATACAAGCAGTACTCAATGACAAGTTCGATAGTACGAGCAGTACTCAATGTTAAGTCCCAATTACAAGAAGTACAACCGCAGTCAGTTAACGGTTCAAGGGGTACTCAGTGTTAAATCACATAGTACAAGAGGTACTCAGTGTTAAGTCACATAGTACAAGAAGTACTCAAGTGTTAAGCCACAAAGTACAAGAGATACCCATTGTCAACGCACATAGAACAAACGAGTCACACCTTTTCGTAACTTAGAAAACTAAAGATTACGTCACATTATAAGAGGCCCACGAGAAGTCTTGTTACTAATGACCACTGGAGTCGGTAGTCGGGTTAAAAGTGCATCACCGTCGCTCGCCCATAAAGGACACACCCGCGGCACATGAACCTAACCTAACCTATATTAGACCAACACTGAGGACCCAAAACAAAAGAGGATATAAACGTCGGTGTGTACATAAATAAAGGGGAAGGAGGAGGAGGAGGAGGGGGGGGAGGAGGGAGGAGGAGGAGGAGGAGGAGGAGGAGGGGGGGGACCGAGTATAAACGCCCCAGAGAAAAATTACACTATAAAATTACCGCCACAAAACAAAACAAAAATATTACAGACAAACAAAGAGCACTGGGAGCGGATACTGATGTTCACGTTTCCGGACACCGAGTTCAACAACAATTGGAGGCTCTATAACGCAACTCACATCAGTTATAGGCCAATATGGAGAACAAAACCTCAAAATGGAGACATAACTAACACTAAGATTTGACCATCACGTGGGGATCTTTTAAGCATCTCTGGGCCCTGGCTGGTCCCTGGTGACACGGGGCCTTCAGATGCGACACAAGGGCCCTTAGATGCGACACGGGGGCCCTCATATGCGACACAGTGGCCCTCAGATGTGACTTGGGGGCTCAGTATCCCTTCCAAGAGGTGATGGTTAGTGGAAGCGGTGTGGACTGGGGAAGCGAAGAATGTGACGTAACCTTCTTTTCATCCTGTGTCTCTATCACACCAGACCACAGTCCTACCACACCACAGCCACGCCACACCACAGTCCTACCACACCACAGCCACGCCACACCACAGTCCTACCACACCACAGCCACGCCACACCACAGTCCTACCACACCACAGCCACGCCACACCACAGTCCTACCACACCACAGCCACGCCACACACAGTCCTACTCCTACCACACCACAGCCACGCCACACCACAGTCCTACCACACCACAGCCACGTCCTACCACACCACAGCCAGCCACACCACTCACCTTACTCGTAGAGTGAGGGGCGATATGATCGAGGGGTATAAATGGAAGTCAGGGCTAAACAAAGGGGACATTTAGATTTAGGCGTGAAATAGGTAAACATTGGTTTGGAAATAGAGTAGTGGACGAGTGGAACAAGTTACCGAACATCATCATTAACTCGAATACGCTGGATAGCTTTAAACATATGTTGGATGGATATATGGGCAATAGGGGCTGGGTGTAAATGGGACTGCCCAGTATTGGCCAATAGGCCCGCTGCAGTTTCCTCCATTCTTATGTTCTTATGTACTCACCCCCACCCCACAAGCCCTTCCTTGCACCCTCTTTCCATCAAGGTGTTGTAGAGTAGGACAGGAGCACCCATCCCTTGGCGTCACTACATAATCTACATTACAGGGTAACCGCTGAGTTTATAAGCCTCACTATGAACACGTTACAGAATCAGTGTGTGTGTGTGTGTGTGTGTGTGTGTGTGTGTGTAAAATATAGATACCAACAGAGTCCGTTTATATACCTAATCATCACCAGACGAATATAAAGGATGTGTGTGACCTAACGCCGCGATATACTGATGTATGGCTGCTATACAGGAGGTGATGTGCCTTATTGTGACTGGGTATAGGTAGTTTTATGAGGTGGGTTCGTCGCCACACTACACAGGCGTCACACTACACAGGCGTCACACTATACAGGCGTCACACTACACAGGCGTCACACTACACAGGCGTCACACGACATACTAGTGGTCTTGTGTGTCCCTCTCTCTCCCCCAGAGTGTACACCACAGCGTCAACACCACCGGCGGAAACTCTTATCTGTTCTCTTTATATCCCGTCTAAAACACTCTCTCTCTCTCTCTCTCTCTCTCTCTCTCTCTCTCTCTCTCTCTCTTATCCTAACAAAACAAACACCACTACTACCACTAACAACACTTACCACTATTATCACCACTACTCCCTCTAACCACTACCCCTTCTACCACTACCACCACCAATACCACCAGTACTATTATACCAATACCACTACAGTACTATTATACCAATACCACTATTAACACTACCATTACTACCACCATCAATAACACTACCACCACCACGACTAAAATTACCACTACCATCACCACCACTAACACAACCTGCACCATTACAATCACTACCACCACCACTACTAACACCACCATCATCACCAACACTACCACTACTAACACCAACACTATTAACACAACAACTATCACTACCACCACCTATTCCGAAATGTCTGACCTTGACCTTAAAACAAAGCATTACAGCTCTAAGGGTTGTTAAGGTGACTGTACTGTACAAGACAAGCAGTTTGGACGCTGTAGCTCTTCCCGTGCCCTAGTTAAGCTATCTGGCACACACAGCTACACTGGCTACCCTGAACTCACGCTTCATCCCGTCTCAACCTGAATAACAATAATAATAATAATAATAATAATAATAATAATAATAATAATAATAATAATAATAATAATAATAATAATAATAATAATTATTATTATTAATGAGGAAAAGCAACGAGAGAATAATATTAAAATTATAATAAATTATATCCGTAATTAATTACCAAACTTGACATCAACGACATAAGAATAACGACTTGAGTACAATAATAGATACCTTGAGTACGATCTACTCGAGTACGATAACAGCCACCATGAGTATGATGAGATATTCCGTGAGTACAATGACATCCCCGATCAGTAAGATAACACTGAATTCCCTGAGTACAAGAACAAAATCCCGAATACAATAACATGACCCACTGAGTACCATAACACATCCCCTTGAGAACCACACATGAAGACTCACAACTGAACCCAACGAGTGCCACAACAGAACCATACGAGTACTACATGTGAACCCCCGCGAGTACAACACTACAGAGTACGACACCAATGTAAACAAACCAGACCTATGAACACTTATTACTACATAGAAAGACCTAGGACCCCCCTCTTTACCCACCCCTAACCCCCCCACTGACACCCCACTTTTCCCCTCACCTGTAAGAGCGACGACCTGGAGCCTCGTACCATAGGGAGGGGAGGGTTAAACGAGGAATGCATAATGCAACACTAAGGTCGTAATACATTTCCTGGTTCTCTCCCTCCCAACTAGATTCCCTTCCTCTATCCCTCTAACGTATTTCCCCTATCCTTGTCAAGCCAAACCTCTTCTCTTTCCTTCTTCCACCATCCCCATTCCATCCCTCTCCCAATTCCCTTCTGTCCTCTTCCCCTTCCCATCCTCCTCCTCTCTCTCCCTCTCCTCTTTCCCTTCCCTTACCACCCCTCTCCTCATCGTTCCCTTCGCATCCCCCCCAACTCCCCCCTCCCGCCCCGTGTATGTAAATGGCCTTGCATTCACTGCCCTAATGACATTTACTTGCCACTGACGGCCAACGCAGGTCTTAATGGCCCTTATCTCCTGCTGATGGCCGAAAAAAGGCTTAATGATCTTACTTGTTGCAGGTCAAAAAGCCCTAATGACCTTCCTTACCTGCCAGGGTCAAAAATTCTTATTAAAGTGAGGACATGTAACTCTGAGGTAAATCTTAATTAAATCATCTGCCGACGATTAGAGAGCATTACGGAGCTAACCTGTTGGGTACTGGTGTACATTACCTACCCCGGGTACAAAAAAATATTAATAAATATATCTAATGACACACACCAGGCCAGGGAAGCCACGGCTCCCAAGGAAATTACACACACACACACACACACACACACACACACACACACATATATATATATATATATATATATATATATATATATATATATATATATATATATATATATATATATATATATATATATATATATATATATATATAACCCATATCTTCATACAAAAGAATATCCAATAGAGAAAATAGTGTCTATGGCTGCAAAATTTTATTCTTTTCCCCTAAAACCTTTTTATATTTCAGTTTATTAATATACATACTGTACTGTATATAAATACTGAAACACCAAAGAAATACTTCAGTCAACTGTTACATTCCCGACCAGTGAGCCACTTTACTCCTTAATGTTGTAAGCAATAAGGCGTCTCTACCTCGTGGGGTACACTATCTAGGAGTCGGCCATGTGGTGAACGTCCCGGGCCCTTTAAATATCGCACGTGTTGCGTGGTTCAGCGCGCTCTTGTGCCAGCGTCTCATGCACAAGTCAGGCAGACATACCAACCTAACATGGCTGACAACCGTTGTGTGTGATGACAACCATGTCTAACTTTGAAATATATGGCAGGGTGCACTAGTCCTTGCTATAATTGATTAAATGCTTTACATTTCCTTGGGCGAAATAATTATAAAGTTGATTTGTCGAACCGAGCTGTCGGGAAATGAAATATAAAACACACATACAAATGGTGTGTGTGTTTATCACTGATTTAAGATTACTTTACTTAAGTTTTAAATTTATCTATATCCAAAGTAATATTACGTAATATACTGCGCCTCTCAACTCACGGATCTGGCGCGACATTAACGCTGTAACGCTGTTGCACTCGGGAGAGATATTTAAAATTTTCGACATGCATTTAGGTTAATAAAACAAACTGTTTCGTTGCGAATATTGCCTCTACCCGACAGTCGTTCACAACATTGCTCCTTAACATTCAAAATGCACTGCAAAAGTAGTTGATGTTGCTCACCACGGTAATTCTGACTACTGTATCTATCAGCCACTATGAATGGGTCTGTTATTGGTCTTCCCCGCCCTCTTCCCTTCTTGTTGTAAAATAAACAATCGTGCAAGATGAGTGGCGGTGGATCCGAATTAGGGAACTTTCGTCTATAATATACAGTATATACAGTGTGTATATATATATATATATATATATATATATATATATATATATATATATATATATATATATATATATATATATATATATTCTAAAATTACGACATGGAACAGTTTAATGTACTGGTGCTCCGTCGGTGATTCAACAAGCAGAACAATTTTCAATGCACTGTTTGTACCAGTGTGACGAATGGTGAGACGTTGTCGTCGTCATTGGTGTCAACGTCATAAAGTGATACAGCACAGTATGTCTAAGTTCGGTTTACTGTGCATGTTCGTTGAACTCTAACATACGAGTAATGTACCGTCTCGTTCAAGATTCTTTGAACACTGCTGGAGACAGGTGGCAACTCAAGGCCGTTTGTTTACTATCGTAGTAAAAATTATGAATGAATGCAAAAGTGATCGGTGATTGGTTACTTAGTTCCCCGTTGCTTAATTAATGGTTGAGCATTGTTGTTTCATATTATATTATACTTTTCTGCTGGTATATACTGTTAATTTGAGTTGCCAGCTGTCTCCAGCAGTGTTCGAAGAATCTTGAACGAGACAACATGCAAGCTGTACTATGCCAACACACTGTACATGTGCGGTGTACACTTACATCTGTTTAGCATAAAACAACAAGCCCTGCAAGGGTGTTGTCCATCAAGACGTGACCGAGTTATGTGACCCAAAACCAGGCTCTTTGTGGTTCTCACTCTTTCAAAGCACTACAGCTATGATGTAACCATATTAATGAACAAAATATAAGAACTTCCCAAATAATAATGAGGGTATTCAGTGTAATACTCGTGGTTGCGTGGGTATAACTGCTTATCGCTCTGAGTGGATTAACCCATTTTCAAAATGAATCTAGTCATTTTTTTATGGCTAGTGATGTTGAAGAAGGCCAAAAGGACGTGTGTATTCAGTGCATATGAATGGGGAGGTCACAACGTCTAAGGGCACTTACAGTTTCATGTCTCAAAAATGCATTTATTTATCTTTTAAGTTGGTGCAGTATTGTAAGGTATTTAATGAATTATGAAACAAGGAGGAAAGCAATCTTGGCAGGAACCACTGAGAACACACTAAGCCATATAAGAGTATGATTTGGGGGGAATCTTCAGCGCCATACCATATATTATATACTGTACATGTACTGTACAAAGTAAATGTATTTCCTTTTGGTTAGTGTCCCTCATTTTATCATAAACTGGAGGGTAACTTTACAACTGACTGATGAAATTGTATTAAGTCTTAGGGAACCTTAGGGTCTTGGAGGTCACACTTGCCTGAGCAAGTTTGTGATTTTTGAGAAATAATAACAGCATACAGTATCTGATATTTTACAGTAGGGTACAGTAAGTTCTAAATTTTGTCTAACAACTACCCTCCCTCCCTCTAGTTTCTACTGCTGAAATTTAATCCCAGTGCAGTACAGTATTATCTTGGTTATTCCCTAAGCTTAGAAATAGATATTAAAACACCTTTAATATCTTCTAAAAGTACTTGTTACAAAAAAGAACAAGAAAATTCTTATTCCATATCTTTATTTCCAACACAGGCAAGGTCAGCATATCTGAGATAGTGTACTATAGGTATATGTGCCAGCACTGTCATCCTTGTGCGCCTCAAGTTACCTTATGCAAAAACTATGTGAAATATTTTGCAAAGAAATCTTGTACAGTACAGTACTGCAATAAATTTTGCTTTATAAGCATCTACAACAAATAAATAAATAAATAAATATACTGTAGTACATCATTGAAATAAATAATAAATATTGCACTGTGTATGTATTACAATAAACAGAACTACAGCAACTTTAATTCTTCTTTACAAATCTGGTCATGAAATTAATTTTCTAAATAAATGAACTATGTACAGTACTCATTCTGTGAG